TACATCATCTGTGAAAATTCCAACTGTCTAACAATCACGGTTCATGAGATACAGCCTCGTAACAGACAGACATACAGACAGACAGACAGTGGAGTCTTAATAATAGTGTCCGGTTTTACCCTCTTTTTAAGTAAAATAAAGTAGTTAGAGACATGATAGCTCTGTTTCCGGCCTCGCTTATTTATAAACTCTACAAACTGAAATTAAAAGTTTTCTTTTTATAGTGCCAATCTCTGCACTTAAGATTAAACATTAAAACTTGTAAAAAAAGAACGAAAAGATTGTCGCCGCTGTGGGAATCGAACCCACGTCTTCGGCATTCGCGGCCTGACGCTTTAGCCACTAAGCTAAACGGCTGAGTGCCACACCGACCTTAACACGACGATCTTAACGTCTTTTATGTACATTGTTTTTAGGATTTGAAGCAATGCTTGGCGCATCTACGACACTAAAATCGCTAATATAAAATTTGAATGTTCACCTATCACGTACTCAGCGCTGAAGGAAACGTGCATATTTTCGACATAATAACAGAAAAAAATACTTCGTAGATATGTGAAGTCCGCAAATCCGCAGTGGGGTCGCGTGTCGGACTATGTCCTAATAGCCTCTGCACAAAGGAGGCCTTTGCCCAACAGAAGGGACATATATGTATAGTGTAGGCTGTTTCTTTCGTTTTACTTTACTAAAGTTATAGGATGTGTCGACGACATTGGCAATTTTCCCACTGGACGGGTCAAGTTGGAAGCACCCCTTATGGAGGTTTCTGTGTAGTTGTTACTACAAGAAAAGAAGAGAGGCGTTTGTCGATTATTAATTAAAAAAAAACTACTATCTGCCTGCCGTTATTCGAATGATTGCGATAGCTGATTGCTTTTTCTGTTTTGTAATATTGGTACATTGTGCGGGTTGACTGGTGTCTGGATCGTATAACGATTGATTGCTCCGAGCTAATATCTTCGTTAGTCCTAAGTACCTCGCAACAAATACAACGTAATGAAATTTAGGAATAAGTGAGACCGTTTTTATTTGTATAGTTTTCTAACAATATTAGAAACTAGTTTAATTTATTTTCCATGGATGTCGTGATTGCAAAATTTTATTATATATTTTATTAATCTTAAATTGGAATAAAAAAGGTTGTCAATAGTAGATTATTTTTTTCTGTGAGACTGGCAAGCGAGCTGGCATTTCACCTAATTTTAAGTCATAACCGAAGCCCATTGAATATTCAACACCCGTAGGGGTTGCAGATGCGTTGCCACCATTAAATAAAGTGCTAGTGTAACGCGCTTCCACTTGTTGTGTTTGTGTGAGTTTGAATTAATTTGAAGATATTTGTTTAGTCTACGTATGCAGTAGCACCACATCATAGATTGGAAAATCTAAAGCCACAAGGGCGCAGATTTGCAGTAAGGTTGGAGAAAAAAAGAGAAGATCGAAAATTTTATTAATAATAAAAAGTAAAATCATTTCGTTACGGTCGCCTTGATATGAAAATCCTAATGTAACATTTAGAAGTGAGGAACAAACGTATTCGTTTCTACGGTATCTAGCTACAATACCGGATTGGGGGATAATCAAGGTCATTACCCCGGGGTCATGACCTTGATTATCCCCCAATCCGCGCCTAATCGGGCAGTACAAACATAAATACATAAACTCTTTAGTTGTTCTTAAGCAATCCTTTGTTTAAGAGTTAAACACAGTAGATAATTTAGCTTCTTTTATAGCTTAAGTTTGTATGTTTGATGGATGTTTGTTAATGAAACTTTACAATAATATAGCTAATAAATCAGAATAACACATAGGCTATAACTTATATACATATTTTTATGTATCTGTCTTTCTTTCTGAATGTTACGCCTTCAGCCTATTCTAAGCAGACGTAGTCGCGGGCAGAACCTAATAAAAAATAAAATAATTTCGTTACAGTCGTTTTGAAATGAAAATCCTAATGTAAGATTTAGAAGTGAGGAACAAACTTATTCGTTTCAACATTGTTGTTGCTAACTCCGGGGTCACCTTTATTTTCCCCCAATCCGTGCCTAATGGCAGTATAACACATAAATACATAAACTCTTTACTTGTTCTTTAGTAAACTTTTGTTTAACGCTTGAACAGAGTAGAAACTTTAGCTTATTGTTTACATCTCTTTTACCCGTGATGGTTAGGAGGACGCTAGTCCACTCTTCATCGAGCTTGTGTAAATGTGACAAGAGATAAGACAAACTAATAAGCCCAATTGTCAAAAAGGTTGTGAATGCATCTACAAAACCTCGGGGGTAGCAGATGTCCATGGGAGGCGGTATTCACTTAACATCAGGTGAACCGTCTGCCTTACTTAACAACTTTCACATAAAAAAAACTGTGGATTTGTCACGCGTGTGGTCTCAGTTGCACTTTGAAGCGACACGATTTCTACTACCAGAATTCGCCAATGTTAAGTTTTCCATAGCGCAAACGTTTAAGAGACCTTAGGTACACCTCGCTCGTTGCACAATCTCGAGGTCGACGGTAACAGGAGCGTTTTTTTTTTCTTTTAGCGCGCAGCGAGAATACTAATTGGGACGTTAATTACTTCCACCGTTTCCGTGTTCTTCCAGTGGCACTTCAGTTACGTGCCAGTGCAATCTTACACGCTGTCAGTCGGAACAAGTTCATTTTCTTGAGAATTTGAAATAAGTAAACCCTGGAATCTAAAGTAAGGCTTGCGTATTACGTCCCACGGCTGGGTGATAGCTGCTACGTGAAAAGAATGGGTTGTCACCCACCTCAGTGGTGGACAACCCTTATTTTCACCTGTCTTCGAAATATTTTGTAGTCCATCATTTCTTAGACCTGTATAAGGTTTTCTATAACAGTGAAATAAACAACTCTAACAGTGCGCGAACCTGGTTTTGAACTCGAGTTGCTCGAATGTACTGCATTAGAAGCGCGGCACGGGGACTAAGCCATCACGGCTGTATTATTTAATTAATATTATTCGTAAGATTGTGCTCGAGGTATTTTTCAGAGAAGCTGGTAAACAATCAAGCAAGTGGCTCACCACACAACAATTGAGTATTTATGAAATGAAATTAGTTTATGGATTTTATCGCTGCGATCTTATTTTAATTTTGATTTTATAATTAGTGACGTTTCGAACCCTTTTCAGCCTTCATGGTCACGGGACAGACGGGGCGCTGGAAAGGGTTCAAAACGTCGGGAATCATAAGATCAAAATTAAAACGCGATAAAATCCGTAAACTAGTTTCATTTGATATACATAATATGATTCAGTATTTATTCACCGTACGAATAGTCGCTAAGACTTTGAATACCAGTAGCGTTTGCCTTTAAATAGCGTTTGTCTTTAAATATATAACTACTTGCGTGTAAAAATTATGTTTTCCCATTGGCGGTGTCGTGGCTCAGTTGAATATTACAAGTTAACTCTACATGCGTACCGTTGTACAACTCTACCAATGGGAACAACACGGTCGTCTTAATGTTATCTGTCACCTTGTCGGATGCATGCGGACTTGAGGAATACTCAAGCCTCATACATAATGTAGAATGCTCACATAACCTTCACCACGTGCCATTTGTTTAAAAGTCCTTTTCTTCCGCAACACGTGCGATCAAAATCTCGCGGAAAATTGTTTTCGGGGTTTATGATGCGGCCTAATTTATGTTTACCTCGCTGAGCGTTCTCGCCTAAAGAAGATGTAATATTTTGTTTTTAATTCATATTGATTTAATTTGATTTTATCCATCTGAGTACGTCGACCCCGTCATGCCTTATACATTGTACAATAAACATGTACTTGTGAATTTCAATTGAACATGAAGTTCACTTTAAATTCATTGATTAATAATTAATCAAAAACAAGATTCGATTCTATATCTAGAGATTTAAAATCCGACGACAGACTGCATCACTGCCGGCAAACTGCATCACAGTTTGGCAGAGAATAATTTATGTTATCGTACTTTATTACTGGATTTAATAAATAAATAATTTTTTTTTCGTAAAAAACGGAATAGTCTTTTGTTCGCATAAATATGAAAAGATTAGACTAGACTAGATTATTCTAAATATCATCCCCCGTGAGCAACTCTTGCAAATGCTGCACTGATTAATATGCTTTTTTTTCTCATTTCACTGTGGTTCACTAACCCAGTTTCCGAAAGCACAAACAATTTTAACATGATCTGAGTTGCTAGAACGTCTGAAAACAACATTGATTTTGATTTGCAATTAGTCACTTATTAACGGACAATCAACATAAAATCGAGTTTCTGAAAGCGTTCTTCGGTGGTCAACGAGCTGTCAAAAGTTTTATTAAGTAATCTGTCAATTTGGACGATCAATCGTTGGTTAAAAATGTATTTTATCAAAAATCTTATTTTTTATTAAAAATAAACATAATTCCCATCGTTGTAAGGACATTCATGTGTTCTATTACCTATTTATTATTTAATATTATGCGAACATATCATGCGATTAGAAACAATACAAAATGCAATTCAAAAGTTAATAAATAATATGGATTCTTTCTTTTTATAATACTTACTTGTTTATTATGGATAAAAAAAGAATATGACTGTAAAGTTTTTTCTTGACATTCTGCATGTATTTATATAAATTAAATTTTATTATAGCTCGGATTTTTACGTTGGCAATCACACGGTGACAGGACTGGATAGTGACGTTAATTTAAGTTTTGTTTAAAAAGGGACAGCTATACAATAGAAAGAGTTAGTTGAAATAAATCATTCATTTAATTCATTATCATTGGTTATACAGTGATTAGCTAATTTTTCTTGAACAAACCTTCCAGAAACCCAAGGCAGTTTAACAAGAGATTAACAGCTGATCATTTTTGACATAGTTTTATGTGATTGCTGCTTTGATTGGCCTTTCGGAAACTGGGCATAAATGTGGTCCTTTTTATTTTCTTTGCAGACGGTGACTTACGAACGTATCTAATGAATTTGCGAACTTGAACGAGGAGGATCGGGCTTGGTGAGTGAATTTTTATCGTTGAGGACATCTTGTATGCACGTGGCTGTGTATTGATAATTCAAACTAAATTTAAAATTATTTCGGGTTATTTTCTATAACTCAACATGTAAGCTTTGTTGATAAAAAATAATTAATAAAAGTATTTCATCAACTATTAAAATAATCCAATCAGTGGTGATTTTGTGACAGTCTATCACAACAATGTATAGTCAACATCGCTAATTTACTTAACTGAGCTTACTTATTTCTTTTTTGTTGACATAATAATCTTGAACAATTGCTACTCACTGCCTGATTGTAGATCAGTTATTCAGATTTGCATGCATCTTTTGATCTCAAATATTATTATATTTTTCTTATCTAAAATTAATTTATATTTATACTTAATATCTGCACACTTTGTGATATTATAAATGCTTTCTTTTGTTTCTGTTTGTCTCCAATGTAGTAAGTAGTAGAAGCTAGTCGAAATTAAGTCTAGGATCTTGCATAACACGTCATGGTCCAAAATTATCATCACTTTATGCACTTTCTGTGCTCTCGTAGGATCGTTGTTGTGATGAAATGAATGCATGGTATATCGTTAATTTAATTAGCACATGGCGACTAGTAGTACGTCGACCATTGGAGTTGAGCCAACAGAGCCGATTCAATTCTGCTACCGTCGTTATAGACTTTGTTGATTAAAAGCTTTTCGATTACATAAAACTTAATTAACTATATGAGAAACACGTATTCAAAAACTTGCAAAAACTTGATTGATTGAAAATTAATTGAAAAATTCATTTTACGTTCAAAATCAAAATCAAAATCAAAAATATATTTATTCAAATAGACGCTTGCGCACTCTTAGGAATCGTCAAATTTTACATCAAAGATTATGTATATAGGTTCGTAAGGTACCACCGGACTTTACTTTACTTTATCAGCCATTAGTGTCCCACTGTTGGGCAAAGGCCTCCTTCCATTTCTTCCACTCCTTCCTGTCGAGGGCTATACCGGACCAAACCCTCACAAATGCGTCCAGTTCGTTGCGCCATCTCCGTCTGGGACGCCCGTGTGCCCGTCTTAAAGGACAAAGAGCTGACACGCCGAAAAGACCATGCCTGGAGGAATTTTTGGTCCTTGAAAGAGCTGATGAAAAAAATTCTTTTTTGTACTAAAAGTTTGTACAAAGCCGAACTTAATGCTAAATAGCATTTTCTTCCAGTTAACCTTTGGTGGTTGAGAGCAAGTTACGGGTAGTAACGCTAAAGTGGCATACAAGATTTTAAATGTCAATCACAAAGAATATGGGAAAACTAAATACCTACTTGACATAAATGTCACTTAATATACTTCAACATAAATAAAATAAAACTTGCAGGCCTTCAAAGAATTTCTTTTTATATTATTTTTATGTGCCAGTCAACCTGTCCCTTATATTTTTAAATTTGAGTATAGGTTTCGCAGCATCTGTTAGTTTCTTAAACTTCAACACTTAATCAAATCTCCATTGGCATTGCAAAGGAATATTTAATTTTAATCTTCGTATTAAAAAAATACCCAGTTCAGATCTAGGATTAGCTTGAGCTTCTCTTTTTATACGTTGCTCGCAGCCAGAGTTTAAAATATCCGCCTCGGCTCATCGCACGACGTATTTCAACTGAAGCTTACTATAGGTACTCTATGTAACGCTACCGACTAATATATGTGCCTCAACGCTACCGCCTTGCGGCTTTCGTGTCGAGTACAAAGGATTCACTGTGCGACCCCTACCAACGTTGCTTATCTGAATCTTTATTTTATTTTATTTGGAAAACTTACGGCTATTAAGCGCTTATTTTAAAAGAATATTTTCTATACATACATACAGATAAATAAAATTGGAGTGTCTGTTTGTAATAATCGCTTTTTACTAAATTCATATAGATGTATACACGTTACATATACCAAAATAAAATTTTTTACAATTTTGTCTGTCTGTCTGTCTGTCTGTTTGTTCCGGCTAATCTCTGAAACGGCTGGACCGATTTGGACGGGACTTTCACCGGCAGATGTCCGAGCAGGTTGGGACTTGGGCTAGTATAAAAGGAAAATGCGGTTACTATTTTATTTTAACGAAATTCGAACTTACTATCCTTCACTATCACAAACCCAAGGAGCTGATTCACTCGACTCACATTCGTAAATTATATCAAAGTAAAGCAATTATTCGAGAATCTACAGTAGTTTTGCCTTCTGTAACGCGAGGGAAGTGTGAGAAAATACTCTGTAAGAAATAGGTATACGAACACCTCGAGTGCTTCTATCGTAAGACTAAAACTCTTTCCTTAGTCACCACTTTTAAAATATAAATGTTTGTCGGTGAAAATTCACTTTATTCACTTTAGTATGGAACGATTTTTCAACTTTTTACTTACGAACATATAATAATAGCATCTGAAGGCGTAGAGAAAAAAATACTCTCTTAAACCTGTTTTAGAGAGAGTGGTTTTCTGTTCAAGTATTCGGTTTCGAATCCACACCTTCTGGTCCAAGGGGCAGGTTCACGATCCGCTATGCCATTCGGGCTGTCACAACATAACATGAATAATATGATGGAATAATTATTTGTTACAAAATTCGATGGTAATTAACAGAATTTTTACATATACGCTGATTCGTTTAATCTTACAACAAAGTTGCCGTCACAAATAAAAAAAACCGAGCCGTGTATTGCGTAACGCCTCGTTAAACTAATTCGTAATTCACAGCGCGTCCTGTTTCTGCCGTAAATAATAATATTATATATTCAGATATTTCAGTTAACAATTTTAGTTTAGGCACCGTCTCCGCGCGGAATCCCGGTGAACTTCGATATCTAGACTGCACTTTCATCATCGCAACTTTCACTGCAAACGCAACAAGGTCAAGGTGTTTTAGGCGACATTTAAAACGGACGGCGGATGATCGAGATGCGCAGCCACCGAAAATTTACATTCGCGTGAGCCACTAAGCTTTATCTGTGGTAGCCACTTCTTCTGTCACGGCTTCGAAGACGTAAGAATTGCTTTTGTCTTCTTTTGTTACTGTAGTAACACTACACATGGGCGCTGACGTCTCCAGCATCACGAAGGGAATCATTTAGATAAATGAAGTAAACGACCATAGGAAAATCAGTAGGCGTGGAGTTTTTCAATATTAGTCGATGGCTCGGTCGGCAATTGGTACGCAGTGACCTCGGCACCAGAAGTCATAGGCTCCACACGAGACATGTAATTTTGTGATGAATAGATAACTGTTATGGGTCGGAGTGTTTGTCCATATGATATTGTGTATGTAAAACGTCCAACACTTTGTCAGCCTTCACTAAGGCCAAATCAAAAGGTAAAGAAAGAAGAAAAGTGTAAATAATTGTAATTGCTTTAGCACTGTGGTAGCTGATTTGTACAAGAGTCGAAACCAAATTTTCCTGTCACACCATAGCTTAACATAAACGTCACACGCACGCGATAAACAGATCTGTTTCCCGACCTACTGTCTAATTTATTTGAGACTACTTCATTAAGCGGGAGGCGCCCATGTCTCAAGGCGCTCCCCACGGTAATTTCCCTTAATTCGCCCCCCCCCCCCCCCTACCTCTCTAATTCGCCCCCGACTAAGATCGGGCTCGTCTTAGCGTGATGTCATCGTCTCAAGGGTACGTAAGCGAAATTTACTAAGCAAAACGCTGTGCAGAGTCCTGAGAAGGTTAATAAGTTGAAGTAATGACTACCCGTCTTTAATAATTATAATATAACAGATAGTTTTAGTCTTCGCCAGGTTCGTTAGCTTCCAAATGTTGCGACTCACACGGACTACTTCGCTTCCAGTTAAAAACAAGTCTATTCACTAGGTTCCAATGTGTGTGTGTGTGTGTGTGTGTGTGTGTGTGTGTGTGTGTGTGTGTGTGTGTGTGACAATGCAGCTAAATTCGGATGGGTGCTGTGGATGTTTCAATGATCGGTGGTAAATACAAATAGTTGTAACACCGACTCCATTTCCACATTCCACTTAAAAACAAAGTCCCTGACCAACGATCAAATTCGAACAAAACTCACTGTTTTTCCTAACCGCTCCAACACAGCTCGTGCAGTGTGCCTTACATTGGTTATGTTGCCATGACACCAATCCATAAAATGGAGATAAGTGACAAAGGCAACTCGATACCATGATACTAGCACTTCACATTTTTAGGGTTCCGTACCCAAAGGGTAAAATGGGACCCTATTACTAAGACTCCGCTGTCTGTCTGTCTGTCTGTCCGTCCGTCCGTCCGTCCGTCCGTCCGTCTGCCACCAGGTTGCATCTCATGAACCGTGACAGACAGTTGAAATTTTCACAGATGATGTATTTCTGTTGCTGCTATTACAACAAAAACTAAAACACAGACTTAAAAAATGTTTAATTGAAACTCCCATACAGCAGACATGATTGTTTTGCCGTTTTTATAGACAACTAGCTGACCCGGCAAACTTTGTTTTGCCATATAAATTATATGTAGGGAAGAAAAAAATTTTTGGGGTGGACTACCCTCAACATTTAGGGGGATGAAAAATAGATGTTGTCCGATTCTTCACCATGGCCGACATGCACACAAATTAACGAAAATCGGTCAAGCCGTTTCGGAGGAGTTCAATTACAAACACCGTGACACGAGAATTTTGTATATTAGATGATACGGAATCCTTCGTGCGCGAGTCCAACTTGCGCTTGGCCGCTTTTTGTCATTAACATTTTGCAAAAACCGTCAGTAATGTATATTCTGTGCGTTTTCCACTTACGTTATAGTCCGTCGAAACTTTCAAGTTATGTATACAATAAAGTACATAAAACAAGGTAATTTTTTTTATGTGAAAAGTTGCCAAACTTGCAGACGGTTCACCTGATCTTAAGTGAATACCGCCACCCATAGACACCCGAGGGTTTGCAGATGCGTTGCCTTTTTGGAAATTGGGCTCCGGCTACCTCACTCACCAGACATAACGCGAAAGTATTTG